TTATTATTATTATTATTATTATTATTATTATTATTATTATTATTATTATTAAAAGTTTTACAAAGAACATAAAAACTAATACAAACTAATAAAGAGTAAAAGGAGCAAAGAAAAGTACAATCACAAAATTAACTCCTATTTTATGATTACAAAAAAAAGCTCACTTTCTTCTATTATCCAGTTATTTTCTAATCATCAAAACCACAAATCGTAAGTGCATTTTTGTTCATTTCATGCAAAAAATCTATCAGGGGTTTCCAGTCAGCCATAAATGTAGGCATTGCTTTTTCTGTAATCAAAGAAGTTAATTTAGCCATCTCTCCAAGTTCTATCATCTTCACCAGCCATTCCTCCATTGTGGGTAGTGTTGAACCTTTCCATTTTTGAGCATATAATAGTCTCGCCACCTTTGTCATATTTAAAAACAACATTTCATGACTTTTTTTATAATTGCCTGTCCATTAGTCCCAAAAGAAAAGTCTTTCATTTCAGTTGTACGTTAACTTTTTAATTAATTAATTAATTAATTAATTCATGTATGTATGTATGTATGTATGTATTCGTATCTAATTTTTTTTGGCTTTTTCACATGTCCACCAAACATGGTAAAATGTCCCTTCATGTTGTTCACATTTCCAGCAAAGATTTGAAGTACGTTTATACATTTTAGACAATTTCTCTGGTGACAAATACCAGTGATACATCATTTTATAAAAATTATCTTTAAGGCTAGAACATAATGTAAATTTCAGTTCTTTCAACACATATTTTCCCACTGATCCATTTGATCCATAGTCAAAAATTTTAGCCTGTTTTATCATACATTCTTTCACTTGTTCTTCTTCTGTCTCATATTTCAGCAAAATTTTATGCATTTTATGATCATCATTAGTACACAATTCTATTTCAAACCCAGTCTTACTTTGTTCAAAACCATAAAATCTTTTATCCGTTTTAAACCTGTCTGATAATTGTACATAAGAAAACCATTGACAAGAATATTCTTCTGTTGTCAAATCTTCTCTTGATTTCATTTTACAATCCCTTGAGAAAATTCTAGTACATCATGGTAAGTTAACCATTTCTCATCTATAAAATGCTTCTTGTGCTGAAAGCCACAAAGGTGTTTTTGGGCAAAACCTAAATTTATGTTTATTCCTTACTCTGAGAATAGCTCATCTGACACAATAATTTTTAAAATCTACATTTACCTTAGCTTTGTCGTATCATAGATATCCATGCCATCCAAATCTCAGTTCATGACCTTCTAAATCCAATAACCTTCTATTTCTTAACAACACCCACTCTTTCAGCCAAACTAAACAGCAGGCAGTAAAATATAGTTTCAAATCTGGTAAGCCCAATGCTCCTCTTTCCTTTGCATCTTGTAGTACCTTATATTTAACTCGTAGGTTTTCCCCCTTGCCATACAAATTTAGATATATCATCTGCTTTTGTTTAAACGGTACATCAGTTGTCAAAACAGGTATTGTCCAAAACAAAAATTACATTCTAGGTAAAACATTCATCTTAATCATAGAAATTCTACCCAACAGTGACAACTGTAATTTGTCCCATCTTGACATATCTTTTTTAACTTCAATTCATGTTTTAACATAGTTATTTTGAAATAAAATACAGCTCATATTTGTCATAGTTATACCCAAATATTTTACTTCCTCTCAATCTTAAAACCCATTTTACTCATCAGTTCTGTTTGATCTTGCATCTTCATGTTTTGTTAAGATCTTTGTCTTCTTTTTATTAATCTTGAAACCTGCTAAGTTCCCAAATTCTTTTAATTTATTCTTTAAAAAATCAATTCCCTTTAAGGGGCCTGCCAAAACCAGAACCAAGGCACAGCTCTGTAGATCTTAAGCAGGCATGTCACAGCTGTTGCAGAGGTAGAGTTGGGTGGATGGGGAAGCCTCACCACACAGAAAGCCCATAAAAGGAAATCAATGAAAACAGAATAAAATTAAAATTAACAAGCCAAACTATAACCCAACCAAGGATGAATCAAGGCCCAAATTGCCTCCAGAAAAATTCTCTTTTGCAGTTTCCAGAAGGCAATTAGAGTGGAAGTCAACTGGATGTCCACTAGAAGGCCATTCCCCAACTCTCCCTAAAGCGGAGCACTACAGCAGTTTTGTCTGAATAGATTCAACTATGTCAGCCAAATAAACTTTAAAGGCAGTGCATATAGAGTACATTACAGTAGTCAAAGCATGCGCTGATGAGGGCATGAGTCACTGTAGCAAGTCCTCCCACCCAGGTAGGGCCGCAACTGGCACACTAGTTGAAACTGGGTAAAGGCTTCATGGCCACAGCTTCTACCTGATGTCCTAGCAGGAACCATGAGTTATGTTGAGATACCACTAGAGCAGATAGGAAACCCAATGGAAAAACAGTAACTCTGTCCTGCAAGGGTTCAATTTAAGCCTAATTTTTTTTCTCATCCAGACTCTCACAGACTCCAGGCACCAGGATAAAACTTCACTGATATCACCCATCTGATCTTCAAGGCCTCTAGTAGCATTCCCTTTTCAATTAAGTATTAATAAGCACTGATCCAGGAAATTACTTCGCCCCACCCCCATGTACAAAGTCACCAGGAGGGCAGAGGAGAGGAGAGAGCACCTTATCCACTTCATTGGAGGTCACAGGCCCAAAGGACCCCCAGGTAACCAAGAAAGACAATACCACAGCCATTCTGGACAACTTTGTAGTGAAAAGTTGTGCAAATTGATCACAGCCTCTGGGCAAGACTCTTGATGTTTATTCTTCCCTGACAGGGAACTGACCCCTGGAAACACAGCCATTAAGGGAATAAGAGAGGAGAAGTAATGGTGTTTCACATCTCTTAATACCATGGTGTAGGCCTGAACGTGGGCACGTACTTGGGCTGTCGGATTCACTTGTCTAAAAAAAAAAAAACAGTTTTGCTAATTTTGACTGGTCAAATTGAGGAGATGTAGAGAGAAATGGAAAGAGGGGTTCCAGGTTATTAGAAGAAAAAAGACTCTAATTTTCCCCAACATATTTTCTATTGTCTGCTAAGTTGATCTGCGTTTGTTCCACATCTTCATTTAAGTCATTAATGAAAATACAGCAGAGTAGAGGGCTCTCTATGCTCTGGATTTCTATTATACCTTTCAATCACATCACTGCACTGAATGCACTAAGAGCTCATCTTGTTTATTTTCCATACCCTTACCATTAGTGTATAGACAACGAAGGCCATGACATGAGCCAATATTCTTTTTGTTTTTCAATGAGTGGTTTAAGAGTCCCTATTTCATCAGCTACCCTTTCTACACTCTTTATCTGAGATCTTTACTTCTAGTACACACATTTTTATCTGAGATTCTTACATTTCTTATATTTTCATCAATAATTCAATTTCAACAATAATTCCGTTTAGAACTCCCCAAATCACACTCATTATGTTTTGGCCAAACCTATTTTATTAATCCTTGTGAGATGCAACCCATCTTATGCCAGCAGTCCATCATCTAGTGTCATCCCTATAATGTAGACCAGACTAAAAAACAGACACCATGCATCCCTAAAGCTACTTTTATTAGAACAGCTATAGTAAAACAATCTTGCAAGTCTGAATATACTTCCTTTCTTCCATCTTTCATCTTCATGAGAATTGGGATGGGTGGGTGTCTGAGCCTTTTTCACAAACTACTTTCTTGGCCTGGGCTCAAGTTTCATTTATCTGATTGTTGCCTTGGTAGAAGATCTTCCTTCTATCCTTCAAAGCCATCCTCTTTATTCACTACATCTAGATTATTCAGTCCCAGAAACTAAATTCCTCCCATCAATACCATCAATGTAGCCTATTACTGATTTACAAAATAGCAAGCTCTCAGTTTAATGGACTAATAGGATGCAAGGGGAACCCATAAGAACTGAATGTCTATTAAATGGCAAATAGGACTTTGTACATCATGTACACAGAATGTAAAAAAAAAAAAAAGAAGGATGTACATAAAATGTATAAACATTATCCAGGCTGAGTCACCAAACAGAGGATTTTTTTTTTTTTTTACAGTAATTGCTTGGGGGTTAAGTGCATTATTGCCTAAAATTCAGATTTTGTCCATTACATTCTAAGTTTACTGAATTGGAGTTTAGAGAACTAGATAGGACCCCAGACAAAGAACAATGATATAAAAGTAGGCATTTCATATATAAGACCGTAGTTATTAAAAATAGTACAAGCTGCAGAGATATTAATGAAGCAGAGGTGTAGGGAGGATGAAACAAATGGGGAAATTCTTTATATTTAATTATGTTCCAATTTTTTAACAAGCCATTATTGACATATTAGAAGTAATGCAGTCTACAAAAGATTTCAGCATAAATATTGCTAGTTTGGAATTTCAGGTTGAAATATCTAAAATCTGCCCTATATGCAGACACACTCCAGATTATACTCAGCTTGCAAGCCAAATAACATTTTTCGGGGATAATGACAAATGGCTTGCCATAACTAATATATGTTGGACACAAAAACTAGAAAACAAGGAGAACCTTTCAGATCATAGATGTGCTCCTTACAATTCTCATTTTGCACAGGGAAAAGGCCTCTCAAATTGAGTTCATTTGCAGGAGAAGAAGCAGTTTTCAGGCTGTGACAAGATCAAATTACAGATAACTTAAGATGACAGTGAGGAGTCCCAAACAGGTGAGTGCTTTAATGAAGAAAGAAGAAGTCGCAGTTACTTTGGTGTCTGTACAAGACTGCAGGGGCCGTGTCTTTGTAGCCTTGACAATCCTTTCTTCCTGGGTTAAGATGGTGTTTCTGGCTCCCTCCCACTTCCCAGGGCCGGTCAGACGGAACTGGGTAGGTGTACAGGGCCCAAAGTATACTTCCCAGGCCAGCTTTGGATCTGTCAGAAGAAGACTCAGCAGGTTGGGCTTGACTCCTAATAAGGAGGCCAGTTCATCCATGTAATCAATATACTGCACTACTAAGGAATTATTGTGGCTTGCTGCATACCTAAGGGCAAAAGGTAAGTTAGCCTGTTGAAGACCAGATTCCCAGTTCCTGCCTGAGATTTCGCTGCCTCTTCCTTCCCCCTCCACCAACCCACATCCACCCATTTAGAATTCTAGTTGAGCTACTGTAGAAAGTATTTTGTTGTTCTACACATCAATTAACATTTTAAAGTCTTTGTTCTATATTTTATGTTGTACCTTTGTTCTACTGTATATAGTGTTAGTATTAATATTGTAAAATATCAGAGATTTGTGATAGTAATACTAATACTTTAATTATTGTCTGTATTTTATAGTCTAGAAGTACATAGTTTTGGATTGTAAACTTCACAGTTTGTTATCTAATGCTAGTCTATGGCCAAAATAAAGAATTTATAATTGAACTTGAATGCTTTTAATTCTAGGACATGTGACTCACTGCTATCTAATCTAATCTAATCTAATCTAATCTAGTCTAGTCTAGTCTAGTCTAGTCTAGTCTAGTCTAGTCTA